GGCAGAATCCGTGATAAAGCTAGAATTATACTGAAGGAATAAAGCGGGTTGAGATGAATGTGACTTAAGGAGGGAATTTAATATATGTGAATGCTATTAACCTCGTTAATTTTATTTCTGAACAAATTAAAGGAAACAGATAATTAGGGTAGCAATTCTTTGGTCCCCTATTAGAAGAAAGTTATGTAATAATGAACTTAAAAAAATAATAAATGATAATAAAGTACAATTGATCTAGAAGTGAATAACTTTCTGATATTTAATAGACATTCTGACGAAGGATTGCATTTGGAATATTACGTTTGAGTTTATATCGATTGTATACCTGAGGATGGTTCATTGAAAACCGAAACATGTCGTGAAAAAGATGATGCTCTAATTGTAAATCGAACATTTCGATAGAAAGAGCATAATTTTAATATATTTTAAATATTAAATGTTAATTGTAGTAATAATATTTTAATATTTAATAAAATATTTTATTGTGATTAGACGGTTAAAATTAAACATTTATAAAAAAGTAGTTCGTAGACCCAAGAATATATCGCATGTCACACTTAGAACCTCGCAAGCCCCACGTTCAAGTTTCGGCTGCTAAGCTTACAGAGTCTGTCTGATATTAGGCCTAGCCGATGTCTAAATTCGAAAATGACAATAAAAAAAGCTTAGTTAGTTCGCGTTTTGAAGATATTTTGTACTCTGTCAAATATCACCAATAAATTCGTCCATATGATATGCAAATGTTTAAAAAATTCCTCCTGCCTTATAGACGTTGTCTATTGGCCTTTATTCTGTATTTTACCTCAGGGGCATCTCTTACCACCGACCAGCAGTAATCAGCTATCATTTATGCGCTCCATTTCCCCTGAGAAAGCCTTTCAAGACTAGAAATATCTTGGTGAAATCGTTCGCCATGTTCATCACTAACCGATCCAAGATTATCATTATAACGAGATCGAGGATTTTTTTTGACTGAGTAACTAAGCGTGATGCTGACCACTCACCCCCATCTAGTGCCGAGGTCAAGGAAGAGTTGAGCTATACCTCCTCTCCCCCCAAACGCCTACATGGCGTATAGTGGGACAAACTTTACTTTTTAACTAAGCGACTATTGAAAGAAGACGATGCTCCATGGAGTTTTCTATTACTGCAAGTTAATACAACCGAAACCTGTCGGAGATTGGCAATAGTATAATTTTATTTTTGGTATTTTGGTCTGTTGGCATAGCTGATAGCATATACCCATTTGACTAAAGTATGAAATTACTCCCTGTATCAAATTTACCAAATCTTTTCCCGTCTGTACACATTTTTATTTCGAATGTCCCTAATTTATATACATATATATATATCACAGCAAATTTCCAAATTCAGGGATGCATGTAGCTCAGTCAGAATAATGAGTACTTACACACCACGGGCTGAAAGAACGATTTCTGGTAGGAACAAAAGATTTTCATTCTAGCTTAATGTGTCCAGACCGACTCCCACCTACCAAACCTCACATTTAATTTTTGGCACAGGGGTGTAGGCTTAATCTGTGGTGGCTAAAGTGGACGGAACGTGAAGCTGACCACGTGCACCCAGTCCCGAGGTCAAGAGTTAGTGAATCTATACTTTGACTTGATGGCAGAGTTGCTTAATTAAGCGCATGAAACTTCAGGTAACTCAAACCACGACTTGAAATGGCCAGAATATTAACGAGTCAGAACAAAACGTCGTTCTGGTTTGTCAAGAAATGTCCTCGACCTGCCTGTAACCTAGCACAGAGTGGTTTCAAGTGAACAGAGAGATGCTAAGTGCTTATGTGTATGCGATTACACTGCGATCCCAATGGGATTCCCTTGGGACAAAATCGTAATTCTCGAAGGAATTTTACATGACATGCCGTAATGTAGTTGTGGCATTTTGACAGCTCTAAAGTGTCACGTGATCCTACGGGACCATTCTGCTGTGTTGACTTTGACGGCAGGGGGAATCCCCCCACATCACATGACCCCCTCTTAATCCCTTTAAATTAAGACATGAATGCAGTCACCAGATTTCTTTATCAGGAAATACAGGAAAAATTTGCACACAACTTAGAGATCGCAGACGACACCAAGTAAAATGCAACACAAATAACCCTTGTTTAAATATTAGAGATTGCACTGACATTGATTCGCTTATCGTAGGGTAATATGGAGTCGTTGAAGATTGTAAGAACTTTAAAAGAACTTCCATAAAGAAAGTGTCATAACGGTGAATACTTTGACTACAAATTTTGAAATTGGGCTTAGACTCTATGACACCAAAGTTTGCGTGATGTTTTCTTAGGCTGCTACAGATAACCTGAACACGAGGTGATAAGGGAAGAACTATTATTGATTTATTTAGTGTTCTGTCTGCCGACAGGTCCATATGAACAGGATCCTTCCATCCTTTTCTCGGACTGGGACCTGTTCATATACGTTCTTGGCAGATGATCCAGAAGTGGTTTGCCATTGCCTTCTTCTGTGTGTGAATGGAGTAATTGTTGGGATGCCACGGAGGAAAACTCCGTGTTGCCTAGACCACGGCCTTGCCCAACACAAGTTATAAATTCGGGCACCGCCGGGAATCGAACCCGAAGGGAAGAACAGAGAGGGAAAAATAATCAGATAACTTTTAAATTATATAATTCGAATCCAAAAGCCAATCACATTTATCGATTTAATATTTCATTCCTTGTCTACGATTTCCAACACTGAAATGTAGTAAAAATGACAGTGGACAAATTATTTTCTTTCTTACGTTTATGAGCGATGTCTTCTCAGCGTTATAGGTCGTGTGCCATTGAATGAGAGCCTTATTAACTATAAGTAATTGAAAATAACTGGAGGAAGCTGTCTTGACCTTTGTTAAGCTACTATACCACCATTTGCCTTGAGGAATTGAGACAAACTATTGAAGCTATCGAGATTTTCCGCCTTCGGACCGAAAATCGATACTTCAACTAACTGCATAATCCATCAACATCCTAACAATTTTCCAATCAACTCTGAAGATACGATGATATGAGACCATAAGAAGACACGATGGAGCTCTCCAGAGAACGACAATAGAGATTTTCTAAAACCTCAAGAAATGAAGCCAGGTCTAAGCAAACATGAGAGGATAATATTTATAATTTGGTCCTTAAAAAGTATGACATGAAGTTGGGAACTAACCGACTCAGAATAACGAAATTCTAGAATCTGTTCATTCTCGTCATATTTAAAAGTAGTACAGTTCTGATAACTTGCGAAGATGAGTTACATCTGGTATAAAGTATGGACATGGCTGTTGCGCCAAGTAGTCTGCCAGAAATTTATCGACGTTTCGGAGGTGCTTGATGAAGCTGTGACTGCACAATATTCGAAGTTAGGCAAGGCTAGGTTTTGTCTGATCTCCTCCATGGTGGGCTGTGCCGTGCTCTGCCTAGTGTAGATAAATTAGCTCATTTTCTGGATAAACTGGCTTGTTGTTGGAACGCATAGTCTATGGCAGTGGTATTCAACCTGGGGTACGCGTACACCCGGGGGTACGCGAAGACATCTTAGGGAGTACATGAAATTTAAAAAAATATATTATTTTATGATAAACACTGAATAATCAGTAATGTAATTTATTTATTTTAGATGTAGATTATATACTATGTATAACTTGAATTATACACCAACAACTTTGGGGGTACGAAGTTAAGAGAAATTATATCAGGGGGTACGCGAACAAAAAAGGTTGAATACCACTGGTCTATGGCATTGTAAGCTGGGCTTTGAATAGTCTGGTTCATGATAGGCTAAACTACACTGTGATTTTTTTTAGTTAATGATAAGCCAGAAGTTATATATGCGTATGGACTGACTGATAACGGATATTATTTAGACGAATTAATAGAGGCGTCTGTAGGCAGTAACAGACATATTAGACCTCCAAGTAGCCGCGTGCGTGCATGGATGAATGCGTGTGTGTACGAATGTTTGACATCAGAGTAATGTCAGTTTGTTCTATTTCCCAAGGAGGAAATAAATAATATTCATAAAACCTTGTAAAGCATTTAAAATTTCAAGCAAGGATACATCACGTTTACTACAGAGATTCGATCTTGGGTCCATACAAACAGAAGTCTAACACGATCTCCTATGTTCATCTTTGTTATTTGAGAGTAATTTAATGGTACCTAAATGCAATGACACATATATATTAACAGCGCATGGTTTATGAAATTTCAAATAAAATTTAGTTAATAAAAGTTTGCTTTTTAAATAATTTGTTACAAATTTAGTAGGTTACAAGGAATCTCGATTTTAAATATTGTATGTATTGAATATTTCGATATATCGAATACAAGTTCAAGGCTACTGGAGACTGCACTGCCTTCTCAGCAATCATTTTCCCTTACGAATGATCAGAGAAGAAAGACAACAAAGTTTAGAACTTGTGTATTTGATTGATGGTCTACTGAAGCCATTTCTCTCAAAAGCATGTTAATACGGAATCTAATTAACTTCGAGCTGTAATAGTCGTTAAAAACCCAGATTGTAGGAAGTCGCCGTCTTTTCAAAGACAGGTCCATGCTTAACTTCAATACTAAATCATAAAAATAAGTAAAGGAAACCTATTTCGCTACGTGTTATGTAGGCGCTCAGGGGGAGAGCAGTATAGCTTCTACTCATTCTCAGCCTCGGCACTAGATCAGGGTGAGTGGTCAGCATCACGCTCCGGCCGTGCTTTACCCCTGGGGAAGGGACTCCCGGTACCCATTGGACAGAAGGCTCGGTTGGCCCCACAGCCGGTCTGGACGCTGAAGCTGGGAAAAGAAATCCTGTGCCCTAGTCGGGGATCGAACGTCCAGCCCGTAGTCAGTTATTATACTGATTGAGTTAACTGGCTCTATACTAAACCATTCCCATTGAAATGTATTTATCCGTTGTTTCATCGGCTATATAATAGGCCTGTGGAGAGAAAGGAGCAGTATTTGCGGTAACTGCAAGTTAACTTAAAGTACTTAATTATTGATTTCTATATTTGTACTGTGCTTTATTGATGGTTAAAGGCCTACAGGTCATTTCTAGGTTCGAAATGACTCGTTATAATTTCCGATAACTATAACAGTGCTGCCAAAGTACGAAAGTACAGTCGGTATCTTGAAGTTCTTTCGGGTTATTTACAGGTGTCTTTTTAGTGATAGACACATGGATGGATACAAACGATTAGACGTTTAGTTTCAATAATTGGCTTGTGATGCTTATGTTATGTTCACATTCTCTTTCGAGGTAAATTTAGTTGCAAGTCGACATTTCGTGTAATGATTAATTGTAGCCTGTAGAACTACTCCATAGGTTCTAATATTTTGAGTTACTCATTTAATAAGAGTGAGTGTGTGTGTTTGAACATGAAGAAAACTCTCATTTTCCGAATTAGCAAAATATGTATTATTGAAAATTCTAACCTCACTTTCACCACCACTTTGCTTATGCCATTGCCTGGATTTGAGTCAGTACTCAGTTAATTGGAGGTAGAAACATGGAAATAAATAATTTCAGTTGTTACCAAATTCTTAATGGAATAGGTCATCCAAACTTTTTAGCATTTTAGTGCTTGAGTGCTTGGCGCAGTGTGTAATTGCTGTATTTAACAGAGGTTATGTTTGGGTGATTGCATGTTTTAACTCCATTTGTGAATGTGGAATGGAAGAAATGTAACAGAGTGAACTTGTGCAAAAGACAGTGAGTGCATTATACAGAGGCTTAGGTGGTCCACATTTTGCTCTTTCTTTACAGAGTTGCACGGATGAATTCAAACTGCATTTCATATTGTAAAATGCTTTAAATTGAAATTACCCAACTCCATGGTGTAAAATCCACCTTTGAGAAGCTAATAAAATTATGCTCAGGTAGTAAAACAATTTCCAACCTTCATGGCATCAAAAACTTAATTTTTGATTTTGTTTACAAAAGCCTGACACTGGTCCATGTTCTAACCAAGATAAACCCAATCCACATCCTTGTGCCATACATCTTTAAGGTTCATTTGAATTTCATCTTCCAATAAATGCCTAGAATTTACAAGCGACAGTTGTTTTCCGTTAGGTTTCTCAAACAAAATTGTTTATCTATTTTTCATATCTTTGTGCCTTGCCCATCTTATCCTTTTCTTCCAGTGTTTTCTCTGGGTAGTGGCAAGTGACTAATATCTTCAAGAAATAATGATAAATATTTGCACATTCAAGTTAATCCGTATAAACTGTATAAACCTGTGCAATGTTACATTTGTAGAAATTTAATAAAACTAATTATCCATTGCTGGTGAGATGTCTAAGAGCAAATTATAATTGTGCTCTTTGTGGGTGTAGGCCTACTTACACATTCTTTTCTCTGCATGCTAATTTTCTCTTTAGCATATTTAGCCACATGTCACAAGTATTTTTCACGTTCAATTATATTTATAGTTCTAACATGTCAAAGAATATTTCTGTCTTCTAGAAAGCATTACATAGCGAATGGATATTACCCACAGGCTTTATTCCTGGTCGTGTGATAAGCGTACAAGGAAAAGTCTTTCAAATGCCACCGAGTATGTGTGTTACTCTTTGTATCTATATGCTTCCTTATTTTCTACGTATGGAAAACAGTTTTGCAATGTAGAATCTTCATACAGTTAACATTAGTAGTGGTTCAACTCTAAATATCTGTAATATTAGTTAACTGAATTATGAAATCCCTTCTGCACGTTGATACGATATTAGGAAGACGATCAACTGTTTATATAATTATAGAATGATAACTCATGGAACTTGGACACTCAGGAAGAAGGAACAGAAATACCTGGAGAGATTTGAAATGTGGTGTTGGAGAAGAATACAGAAGATCAGGTGGACGGATCGAGTGACCAACGAAGAAGTATTGAGGAGAGTCAACGAGCAAAGAAGCATTCTGCAGGCGATTACACGAAGGAAAGCTAACTGGCTGGGACATATTATGAGAAGGAATGGAATACTGAGTGATATCATCGAAGGCCAGGTTGAAGGAAAGAGAGGACTAGGAAGAAGATTGATACAGCTAACCGACGACCTTAAACAAGGAAAGAAGATGACGTTCCAGGAATTAAAGCGAGAAGCCGAGAATAGGGACAACTGGAGAGCTCTTTTTGGGCAGAGCAATGGACCTGTCGTAAGACAGAACACTTAATAATAATAACTCATGGAACATCGATATCTATATAGCAGTAGCTTCAGAATCAAATGGGATGTGAGGAACACAGGCACACTGACTGAAATTCGAACCCAGTACTTCTACCATATCAAGGGGTCTCGCTACATGAATCTTTTTGGTACCATGCAAAGTAACTGGCATCTGTTTCAATCCGCAGTGTGTAACAGAACTATAGGATCAACTATCAAGTTCATTTTGCATTATAACATTATTGTTATTTATTGCTTTTCAAATTTGTGTACTTTGCCACAAAGTTAAGTAATCTTTAGCACTTTATACTATTCAGATTTTGTCGCAGACAATATTTATCTCAGCTACTGCAAATTGAAAGAGGAATCTCTTATGAGAAAATTAATTATTTATTTTCACTTAATGTGAACCATTTTAACTATTAATACAAATGAAGAACACGATGCTGTTTTTGTTGAAAGGTGTTATAAGTTTATAATTTGGGAAAGGGTGAAGAATGAGACACATTTTGACATAAAAGTTTGTATTTGAAATCAGTGTTTCTTAAATTGTGGTACCAGTTTAATATATGACAGTTTGCAGATACTTGTGAGTTATATTTTGTATATTGTGTTAAACCTTATTTAATTACTACTTGAAATCTAGCAACCTTTTTGCATTTTCTTTTGGTGATTATCTGTTTCGAGCCTTTGCGCGTAACTTTTAATTGTGGATGTCTGATATAAAACTTTGATAGGTGCATCTTCTTTCGATGTTAATGTTACATAAAGAGTAGTTAAAAATGTTTAGACATTCTGATAATAATCTAACATTTGCAAAGTATAATTTGTACTGCACAATATGTGACATTATTCCATTCCTAGCGATACATATTGCTGTTTTACATGTAGTGACTCAGGAGTGGTTGAAAACGGATACTAAAATGTCTCAGATAATGTCCGAGGGCATTCATGTAACATTTTCTACATATACGATTACACAGAAATCCAAAAAGACCAGATTGATCTTATCGCTACCATGAGACACTGAACTCTAAAATGGATAAGAACAAATTCAATAAATACAATTTCAGAATTACCATAAATATTTGAATATTATGATGGGTATTATCAATTGACTGAGGCAGGAGTTAATCAAATACTCATAACATTTCAGGAGTTGGATGTACCTCCATATTCAGGCAATTCTTTGTCATTGTATTGATAGAGCTTCTATAACCTTTTAATTATTACAATTAGTGATTGGGATTGAACCAAGGAACTGTTGAATACTAAGTGAGTACACTAACCAACATAATGTCAGAGAATTGCCTGAATACGAGACTAGAACCAAGTCCCGAAATGTCGCCCGCATCCATTGTAACTCAGATAATGGACGGTGTCCAACACAGTAGTCTTATAATGAATCAGCCTCGAGAGATTTTCACCATAACTGATATTCAAGGTAAACATAATTTTAATTCTGTAATTAATTGAATGTCTCCAGCTTCTCTGTGAAACTGGCTTGTTTTGCAAGAAGAGTGAATGACTTGGCCTTGAAGATCAATCTCAGTTTAAATGATAACTCAGTTATCACTAGGTCATATGTAAAAGGTCAGTGGACGAGAAAGGGAAGAATTGCTTTAAAGAATTTCTACTTTTGTATGTGGAAGACATATCCATCTCCTTATCCTCATTGCAGAAGAGAAGTACATGGTAACAACATTCAGAATATAAAATAAGCAAACAAACAATAGAAGTACATGGTAACAACATTCAGATTATAAAATAAGCAAACAAACAAATTATTAACACTTTAAAAAAGACACTAGTGCCATACGAGTTTCAACCTCAAGAGGTCATCATCAGTGGGAACAGGGAAATTAATTCATTTAATCAAAATGGTTTAAAATTGGTCTAAATATGGTTTAATAGTTTGTTTGTTTGCTTATTTTATATTCTAATACACTATACGGTATGCAAAGTTTTAAGATTAACAACATTAAATTATTAATTTCTTAGAAAACTGTAGACTGCTTAAAGATATATGTGGTCTGTGGGGAAAATGCTTTACGAGAGATATTAGCTCTATTTAGGATAATTTTCATGTGTGAATTTCTAAATATTTCTTGGAATATTCAGCATAATCTAGGTCTGAGTACATGACACAGAATTTTCATGATCTGTAATCTTGATATTAAGAAGATTAGTATTTGTTTTGGGCAATCTTTATTTGTTGATGCACTAGTCCACATCCACTAGAAAGAGGGGAGATTTATAAAAAGTACATACAACAAGAATATTGGCAATGAATGTGACAACCTAGTGGTTAGCTTTCCTTCATATTTGAGAGGTCATGTGTTCAAATATTAGCTTAGAGTCTGGCGATGGTCTTTTGCGGTTTCCTCATTCTGTCTAGGCAAATGCTGTAGAACAAAGAATTAATAAAGTCAGTCTCCACTGTCTTATAAAGCAAGAGACAGGTAAGACAAGGGTTGCAATTAGAACATAAACTAAACAACTTTCACCCCAAGACAAGCCAACTACTAGGTGAAGCACCAAACTTGTGACCAAGAGTATAACTTATGTTTCTATGGTAAATGAATATGGAGACAGATTATAGTCTACCATGAGGATCACCCATTTCTATATACTTTTATAAAGGAATGTTGATTTGAGAAAAGGAATACATTTCCAAACAAAGAACGGATGTAGGCAAATATTCCTTTGTAAATAGGACCATAAGAAGCTGGAACCAATTATCTCCAGGCGTGCTAGAGTCTTTCCCCTGTAAATTAGGCACCTTTAGAAAGAGGGTCAGAAAAGTAGTTACAAGCAAGGGGTTATTAAGAGGGGATTAGATGGTGATAAGGGAAGTGTCTTATTCTCCAAGTGATGAAGGGCTGTAGTTCTTTGGGATAAAATTTTCATGTACTGAGGGAGGACTTTTTATTTTTTATTCTACTCTAAGTATAGTGATTAATTAGTGGATGTGTGTTTTGTATTGTGTGTCAGTTGTTTTATTTTGAGTGTGGTATGTTGTATT